TATTATTCAGTGTAGACAGCATAATTTTAGACTGCATTATGTAAACATTTTGGCATTGTAGATTCTATCTATATGGAATATGGTCTATATTTTAGCAAAACATGATGTCTCATCAGATAGTCTGGTAAATTATAGCAGGGTGCCTGGCTGCTGTCCACACATTGACCAGAGTCACTCTATATGTCTAGGTAGTGTAATGTGCTGACGTGCTGCCTGAGTTCTGGGAATCTATTTTCAAAAATAACCTCTTGTGGAGTTAGAGGACCAAAGGAGGTGTGTACTGTATAGGACAAGTGAGGCTTTAATGTTGTGGAGATATAAACACCTGACATATGGCAAGGCTGGATTGACTCATTTTAAACAGTAATAATAATATTTTTGTTTGAGTTAGCAGTAGCAGAAACACTAGAACGATGTCCTTTTGCGATATATACAGTAGATAGATGTGATATAAAGGTTGGTTATGGCCCAGTTATATTCAGTCCAAGTGCCAGACAAGAAATCTGTACCATCAAGGTAACAAATCTAGTTAAAGGTACTGAAAAAAAGGTATATCAATTTTAGGACTTTATTAATTTAGTTACAGTTTACTTTGGATGATTGATACATGAATGGTTGGTTTTTTCTCCATGATTGCCTCGCATCCTGGTCTAGAATGTCACAAGAGAAATAAATTATACAAAAAGAATTAGAACAATAATTAACATTCATTATCTATATCTACAGAGTGAGCAAGAGAGAGTTAAGCCCATACTGTTTAATAGCTGGACCTAACTGGTTTCACATTTTTGAGATCATTGCTAGGGTGAGTGTGGCAATCGAACTCGGGCTCTGGTACAGGGTCTCCACAGGGCCTCAGATGTAAGAGTCTACATCAACAGGGTGGAAGACCTCAGCTACCATCTCCTGAGTTTCCAGAGACTAGTGGTGTTGCAGTCAAGGTGAGAAATCTGAACAGGCTAACTTTTTCCTTATTTTTTCACCAGAATGCTAGCATATTGATGCTTTGTCAGTAACATGAGGCAGCTTATAATAATAATAATAATCCTTATTTGTAGAGCACTTTTCAAAAACAAGTTACAAAGTGCTTTAACAAGTGTAAAGAATAATACAAAAAAAAGATAAGAGCATGAAAATTAATATAAAATTAGTAAAATACAATAAAATAAAAGGGATAAAATAAAGTCAAATAAGATCGGGAAAAGCTCTCCTATAAAAGTATGTTTTAAGAAGGGACTTAAAAGAGTTCACTGACTCAGCCGACCTGATTTCCTCGGGCAGGCTGTTCCAGAGCCTCGGGGCCCTGACAGCAAACGCTCTGTCCCCTTTAGTTTTCAGTCGAGACTCTGGAACAGACAACAGACCTCTGCCCGAGGATCTCAAGGTACGTGCTGGTGCGTATGGGACTAAAAGGTCAGAAATATAACAAGGCGAGAGCCATGAAGAGCTTTAAAAGTGATCAATAGAATTTTAAAGTCAATTCTAAAACATACTGGGAGCCAGTGTAATGAAGCTAAAATAGGAGTAATGTGGTCATATTTCTTTGTTCTGGTTAAAAGCCTGGCAGCTGAGTTCTGGACAGTCTGGAGTCGATCAATAGATTTTTGGGTTAAACAGGTGAAAAGGCTGTTGCAATAATCCAGGCGTGATGAGATGAAGGCGTGTAAAATGGTCTCGGTGTCCTTAAAAGTTAACATAGATCGAATTTTAGCTATATTTCTAAGTTGATAAAAACATGATTGAACAAGCTTTGTGGTGTGCTGCTCGAAATTTAAATTACTATCAAACCAAACACCAAGGTTCTTTGCCACAGGCTTAATGTGATTTACTAGGGAACCAGCAGATGGCAGTATTTGATTTGCCATCTGCTGGGACCCGATGACCAGGATTTCTGTTTTGTCTGAGTTCAGCTGGAGGAAATTTTGACATCCATTTTTTAACTTCACAAAGGCAGTTGTTAAGTGAACTCAGCATTCCAGGGTCTGTGGATCTGACGGGCAAGTATATTTGTGTGTCATCAGCATAAATATGAAAAGAAATGCCATGTTTATGGATAATATGTCCAAGGGGAAGCAGATACAAGGAAAACAAAATGGGTCCTAAGACCGACCCCTGAGGCACACCATATTTAACTGGACAGAATGAAGAGACATAGTTGTTTACAGACACGCAAAACTTCCTATTTGACAGGTAGGATGAAAACCATTCTAGAGCAGTACCAGAGATCCCCACCCAGTGCCTCAGTCTGTCTAACATGATGTTGTGATCAATGGTGTCAAAAGCAGCGCTAAGGTCCAGGAGTACAAGGACTGAGCACATACCTTCATCAGCAGACATTAAAAGGTCATTGGTGACTTTAAGCAGGGCAGTCTCAGTGCTGTGGTACTTCCTAAAACCAGACTGAAACTTTTCAAATATTTTGTTATTTTCCAGCACAGTGAGCAGCTGTTTGGACACAATTCTTTCTAGAATCTTTGCAATAAAAGGCAGTTTTGAAATTGGTCTAAAATTTGTGGGAGGGAGGGATCTAAACCAGGTTTCTTTAAAAGTGGGTTCACGCAAGCCGTTTTAAAATAATCAGGGACACAACCAGTAGATAGGGAGCTGTTGAAAACAGAGATCAAATGGGGCCCAACAGAATCTATTACTTTTAGTAAAAATTTTGTAGGTATTACATCAAGTGGGCTGGAGGACACTCTCATTTGTGATATGTTTTTAAAAGCTCAGACAAGTCGATGGGATAAAACTGGTTAAAACTCTGTTGTTGCTGGTGAGGAACCTCTGAGTAAGAGGCCCGGGGGTAATAGAGGCTCTGATTGACACCACCTTATTGGTAAAATAAGATAAAAACAATTCACAGTCATCATTACTTCCAGCTGAGGCACAAGGAGGGGTTGGGTTTACCAGCTGATCCACAGTCTTAAACAGAAACCTGGGATTGTGTTTATGTGTAGTAATGAGTTCAGAAAAATAGTGTGTTCTCGCATCCTTAACCATTTATTGTAGTTAATTAATAAATCCTTCAGACTGAGGTAATGGACTTGGAGATTGGATTTTTTCCATCTGCGCTCTGCTTTCCTGCATTCCCTTTTTAGGCTGCGAATGCTGTCATTTATCCAGGGTTGCTTACTAGCTTTAGACGTAGGCCTAACCTTTAGAGGAGCAGTAATATTTAGTGACGACAAGCAGATATGATTGAAGTGACCAGATTGTTGGTGTTGGAATCAGACAGGTGTTGGCTTTGGCTCTGAAAGACTGCGCAAAACTTTGAAACACTTTGTTCATTAAAGATGCGACAACACACGGAGCTTGGTGAGGCGGCATGAGTAACAGGCGAATCGCAGCTAAAAACAATACATCTGTGGTCAGATATGGTCATGTCCACTAATTCCACAGAGGAAATGCTGACACCCAGGGTAAAAACCAAGTCCAGTGTATGACCACGGTTATGTGTTTGCCCTTTGACATGTTGTTTGAAGTTAAAAGAAGTGGCCATATTTAAAAAGTCAGTTGCATTAACATTGTTGGGGTCATCAACATGAATATTAAAATCGCCACAAAGAACAATTCTGTCATAATTTAAAACCAGAGTAGATAAAAATTCAGGAAGTTCTGATAAAAATCCTCCAGGCGGTTTTGGGGGGCGATAAATTATAACAAATATGATAGGTTGCAGCCCTCCAACTTTAAGAGTGAGAACTTCAAAGGAGCTAAATTCATCACAGCGTACTTGATGACATTTAAAATTTTTCCTATACACGCTCACTAGCCCACCACCACGACCACTGACCCTCGGTTGACTAAAACAATCATATTGAGGCGGACACAGTTCAGCTAGCTGGCTATAGTCATTCATTTGCAACCAGGATTCAGTTAAAAACATAAAATCTAGATTTGCAGACAAGATAAAATCATTTAAGATAAAAGTCTTACTTGAAAGTGATCTCACATTGAAGAGAGCCATTTTAAATGAGTTTGTTCTGGGTGCTGGAGTTGGTGCAGTTGTCCTAATCCTTAAGAGATTACTAATATTTCTGTGTGGGATGTGCACATTTCGGTTTACTGGTCTATGCGTGATGATGACAGGAATAGAAGTCTGTGGAACAGCGCTGGGAGCAGACGGCTTTACATGCCAGCAGGTGGAGACAGTTGTTTGTGGCAGTGAGGCAGAGATCTGTTCAGTGGTGGTGTGTCCAGGTGTGCTGCATGAATGATGAGTCATTCACGTAAGTCATGTGTGGACCGCACCACATGCTGTATGTGCGCAGCTAACATTTCTGAGCCCCGTTTGTTTGGGTGAAGTCCGTCTGTCTTAAAAAGAGACATTCTTTGCCAGAAAATATTAAAATTATCCACATAAAACACACGGTGAGCCCTGCAGGCGGACTGGAGCCAGTCGTGGAGGCCAAGGAGTCTACTGAAGCGGCCAGCACCGCGACCGACTGTGGGAATGGGACCAGAGATAAAAACGGACTTTCCGCACTGCTTTAAAAAGTTAAGAAGACGGTTAAAATCTAATTTTGTCAGCTCAGACTGCCGAAGAGCTGTGTCATTTGTTCCGACATGGACTATCACTCTTGTGATGGAGGACGGGAGCGACGGCATCAGGTCCTGGAGTTTTTTTAAAATGTCAGCCGTGGTGGCACCGGGGAAGCAGCGAGTGGTAGCGTTAAAGAAACGGAGGTTTCTGGTTATGGAGTCACCAATTATTAGTGTGGTTGGGGAGAAAAGAGGAAGAGGAGATGCCGGTCGGGTTCCAGAGCAGGACTGAGCAGAATCTGCTTCAACACTGCGTGTGGACTGAGGATGGAGTGTGTGAGCTGCCGAGTGTTGTGTTGGAGTAGCAGTAACATACCTGAGAGAAGGGCTACCCGACGGTGCAGGGTAGAGACGGCCTCCGGAGCGTCTGAGCACAGCCTCCTTCAGGATCCTACGTCGGGAAGCGGAGGTTTTTGACCGGGATGACGGCCGCCGATCAAGTCCGGCGGCAGACCGGCGGCCCAGTGCAGGAGATGTAGCCGGTGGCGGAGATGCAACAGTGTCGGCAGGCACTGTGCGCCGAAAGAGATCCCTATCAGGGAGACTCGAAGCCGCAGGTGCATCAGCTGGATGGACCGGAGTGTCGTTAGACAAGGGTGCATAGCGGTTGGAGAGGCCGATGTCGGGGGAGAGGCAGCCCCATCCGAGCCTCTCTTGCAGCCACGGACCACCACTTCAGCCCAGGTTGACTGATGCTTCGGAGTCGAGCAGGATGAAAGCCTGGGAAGACTAGAGGGGTCCCAAAACACGGTGTCCTGGATGTTAGCGGTTGCGCTAAGAGAAACAATCTGTTTGGCTTGTACTGAAGCTACATCCATAAAGCCAGTCAGCAGGAAATCTTTCTCTTTGAGTTCCTCTGAAAGTCGTCGGATGTCTTCCATAAGGTCAGCAATCTTCTTGTTCGCTTTCTTAAGGAGTGAGCAGTCCTCAAGGGGCAGCGTTATCTCGGCCAGCATAGTCACCGGAGCTTTGTTGCGATCAGTAGCGTTGATCGCGTTTTTACGGTCATCTATCTTAAAATCCATGTCGGATGACTAAAATCCTTAACCCACGTAAAACTTAAATAAAGTTAAGTTAAATAAAAGGATATAAAAATGTAACGAAAAAATGGATTAAAACTGGATAAGAGTCCGGTTCAAGACGGAGCTTCCGACAGGTGGCTACAGACGCCAACGCATGCGCAGAGTGCAGATTACGTCAGAGATCTTAGCATGTCAAAAGCATCAACTCTTAGTTTGGCACTAGCTCATGGTACAGCACTATGTTTTTATGCATACATAATCATGTTATATCTGCCAAGAACTGTTAAACATTAGCATGTAAATAATGTAGAACGAACTTCTGCTCGTGATTGGAAATTTCCCCATTCCAGGCAAAATGTCAGACTCCGGCAACTACATGCAGACTGCATACTATAGCATTTATTTATGTCTCAGGCTTCAATTCAGTTTTATTTATATAGCGCCAGTTCATAACAGAAGTTATCTCATTGCAGGTCTAGACCATAATCAGGGTGGACGTTCTGCCTTGACCAGTTGGGTCGAAAGATTGAGGGAGAGAGCATGAGGAGAGAGAACACACAGTACCACAATGCAAGTTCCACATAGAGATGTACAATAATAGTAACGGTAGTGGTGATAATAAAGAAAATAATAGCAATAATAATGATATGAATACCTGCTGAAAGCGACAAGGAGAGAGGAGAGACGACAAAGCCTAAAACTCTGGACAGGGAAAAGGTCGAATTAGTAACATGCGTTAATGAGATGAGAATGTATACAAATGGAGGAGGAGAAAAGCGCTCATTGCATCATGGGAATTCCCCCGGCAGTCTAGACCTATAGCAGCCAAACTAAGACATGGTTCAGGACTCACCTCAGCCAGCTCTTACTATAAGCTTTATTTACGAGGATAGTCTTAAGCCTACTCTTAAATGTAGATATGGTGGCATGAATCCACAGGAGAGGAGCTTGATAACTGAAGGCGCTGGCTCCCATTCTACTTTTGGAGACTCTAGGAACCACAAGTAAACATGCATTCTGGGTAATAGTGATCTAGTAGTAATAAGGTAATAAGTACACTGCCTTTAAGATATGATGGTGCCTGACCATTAAGGGCTTAACCTGAGGAGAAGGAATTTAAATTCTTTTCTGGATTTTACAGGGAGCCAGTGCAGAGAAGCTAATAGAGGAGAAATATGATAACCTTTTTCTAGTTCTTGTCAGTACACATGCTGCTGCATTCTGGATCAACCAGAGAGTCTTAACGGACTTATTCAGGCAGCCCGATAATAAGGAATTGCAATAACCCAGAAGTGTGCAGATAGGTTTTTCTGCATTGTGAACAAAGCCAGTCCTTGAAGTTTTTTTATGCTTGAGTTAAAGATCCTGATCAACGATAACCCAGAGATTCTTTATGGTGGTGCCCTCTAGAGTAACTTTATCTTTACATAATGTGTCTCAGACATGTTTGGGAACAAGTACGATAAGCACATTTGAAGTTTAGCTAACTGACTGGTTTAATCTGGCTTGATCGATACCATCTGTATAAAAATAAATATTTATGGAATTACTCCTAATAATATTGCCTAACACCGTGTGCAAACACCATGTGCTAACTGAATGCGACCTGAGCGAGTGTCAGGAAATCCATTGGAATGTCCTAGCGGCATGATGCTGCACGTCATTTTGACTTTCGCTCCCGTTGGAAGCGCTGCATGGAAGAAAAACGGTCTTGAAGTTGAAATGAGGAAAATGAAGAAACAAGGAGTTATCTAGTGGTGGCAGCTGGCTGGAGGGAGACCGTTAGGGAGCTGGAAGTTTATGCTTTTAGGACATGGTGGAAATCATTGGTCCAAGCACAGAACCTTGCAGAACTACGTGACTAATTTTGGCATGATTTACAAAAGGACTGTGATATATAGCCTGTTAATAAAGACAGATTGATCATGTTTAGTAAAGACATGCTAATCACATGCTGTGATGGTGTCAGGATACTTATTCAGTGCTTACACATTTCAAACCAGCTCGACTTCATTTCAGTGAGGGTTTTGATGTGCATGCATTTTCCATTGCAAATCATCACAGCTATCACATGCGAGATGACAAAACTATGATCCAGTATGAGAGAGACAGTGGGATCAACCTCTCATTCAGGAAACACTGATTATTTGTTCCCTTGTTTCAGTAACTGCATGCTGAGAGAAAACAAGCACCAGAATAGGAGCAATGCACGCATGCATGACTGGTAGTGAGAGCAAATACTGGTATAGAACATATATACAGCAGGATTTATTATTTTCACCTACTTGAATGTTGCCGCTCCAGCAGCTTGTGCCTGAGACCTTGTCCTCACAATTCTGTGCTTTATCTCCTGTTTGCCACATGATGCAAGTAAATTTGCTTGGCCAGTTGTGGCCTGATGTGTTGGACCGTGTTTTTTATTTCCATTCCTGACTCTCATAAGTATATTTGTGTTCTGTAGGAGAAGGTTATCCCTTGCCTACTGCGTCTGAAACAGGCCAATGACCCAGGCCTGAGAGCAGCAGTTAGAGAAGCCCTCGCTCTGGTGGGCTACCACGCACCTGTTAAAGGCCGGGGCATACGCATCCTGTCCATAGATGGAGGAGGATTAAGGTATGTTGAGCTCTTTTTCTTTCCTTTATTGTGTGAAATGAGTCACTGATGTTAAGTCTTTTCAAAGTGGAACGACCGGTAAATAGCATTTACTACAGCCAAGGCCATGTTTTGAGTTTCAGTCTGTCAAGTAAATGTAGTCTTGAGAAACATTCAGTTATTCTAATTGAAAACTGATCAGATGTCACACTTTGCGGGCAATTTGTGTGCTGGTTGTCATTTTATTAATTTATGGCTTTTTGCGTATGTGTATGTCTGACTTTGTACTTTCAGGGGACTTCTTGCACTTCAGACGTTACACAAACTGGAAGCCCTGACCGGCAAACCCATTTACAAACTGTTTGATTATATGTGGTGTCAGCACAGGTGCGTTGTTCTCCTGCCCTACTTCTGCATGTTTATGTATGTCTGGATTATCATAGCGGAGTGCAACATTGCATCACATATTGTTGTTTTCACCACCAACTAAACACTCAAATTAGGCCAGAGTAAGTCGTTTTCAAATTAAATCTTAGATAAATTATATAATGATACATCTTCATTTAGTTTCAGGAATTGTCAATAGGTGGATTTGTGCTTTTTCCCTTTATGCAAAATCACCACAAGGGGGTGCTGTTGATCATCCTCAAACTGTTTTTTCCATCTGCCACTGTTGGTTTTATTTCACAGCAGATTGAAAAACTGCATTTTATATGCAGACCACATAGGCCTTTAATCACTACCAGAAGATTCTGTTTATCCACAGTTCCTATCAGTTCTCTCTCTCTTAATCTCCACCTGTTGGAGGTACTTCATTTTCACATTTAGTGAATGCTGTCAAAGCATATTGTAATGTGCTGCTAGATCTAATGATGTTCACACAAATAAAACCCATCTGGGCAACATCTGGTTAGTTTGATCACCCACGTTATTCAGGTACACCCATCTTTGACCTCATAGCACTGTTGTGGGTTAGAAATCTGGTCTGGCGCTCTAAATCATGGAGAGAAAGTAGTTATGAAATATTTGCCTATCGTGTAACAGCCATGTTAATCCCATGTACTTCCTATGGTTCATTCTAGGGTAATGTTACTCTTAACAGATAATACTTTAGGCAGCCGGCCTCGCATCAACTCCACGGCTTTAGAGTAACAGTACAACGAGCTGTACATAACCTTTCTGCTCGTTAATATTACCTTGTTGTATTCTAATACTTCCTATTTACAAAAATCTGCTTTTTGCATAGTTTTACCGGTACTTCCCAGTCACTTTCCTTCTTTGAATGTGTGTATGTGTGTGCTTTTTCCTCAGGTGCTATCTTAGGGTTCATGCTAGGTGTGTTCCAAATCCCACTGAATGAGTGTGATGATCTTTACCGGAAGCTGGGTTCAGATGTCTTCAAGCAGAATGTCATTGTTGGCACCGTGAAGATGGGCTGGAGCCATGCTTTCTATGACAGCGAGGCCTGGGAGAACATCCTTAGGTCAGTTCCTTTGTCAATGAAGTGGTGATTGTGCTTAGTTTATTTGCTGCCATGTTAAGATACTATATTAGTAAAACGGTTCAAAAGCCTTTATTTTTTTTATATCCTTTTCTTTCTTTAATTCTTTATATCTTTCCACTATAGTATGAAAGTAAGCATACAGTGATTTGGGAAGTACCTAACTAAAATTAGAAAGTTATGTTAACATTATTTGATCGTGTATTTTAAACTGCAGATTTATTTGCAAAGTGTGTACAATGTATCTTGGAAAAGCAGATGTTCCCTGTAATGGATAAAGCCTATTTCAAGTTTCACACAATATGGAAAGGTAATTATTATAGCATAAGTGTAAACCAGTGGCTTTTTTAGAAACACTGGATAAACTTATTAAAGAATAAAACAACACCACTGCAAGCTTAAATATGGTCAGCAGTCATAGAAAGTATACATAGACAGCTGTGGCCTAAAAAAAACCTGTAGAACTGAAAATAATTATGCAAATTCAATTTCCATTACCTGATATGCAGGGGATTTTGTGAAAGAAATAGTCCAAAATTTGCTAAGCCCGAAAATAACCTCATCCGATCGTCCCTTCCACAGAGAGAAAATGGGCTCTCACCTCCTGGTGGAGACTTCAAGAAACCCAGAATGCCCCAAGGTGAGCTTTAGAAGATGGTCTGGCTCATTCTTACCTTTTGTTCTGTTCTGTTCACTGACCAGTGAGCCTTCACCTGATTTTGTTTACTGGGATATTACAAAGAAAGCTCCTTTCTCTATCTCTGTCCTGCATATCACTGCATGACAAGTGGAAGGAAAAATACACTCTAAAGTCATATAAGACAGTGTGGATAACGATTTCACATAGGATTTCATATGTCAGCAGATTCCTTCCAAAACAGAGATGATTCCAAATTGATCTGTCAGAATGTCAGTCTAGGTATTTTCCTTCATTTTAGATCTGTTTGGCTGTGAAATGCCATATGACGTTGTTGTTTGTCATGTCCTTCACTATAGGTGGCAGCGGTGAGCACCATTGTGAACCGGGGCACTCCCCTAAAGGCCTATGTGTTCAGGAACTACAACCTGCTGCCCGGGGTGCGCTCTCACTACCTGGGGGGCTGCCAGCACCAGCTGTGGCAGGCTATCCGTGCTACGTCAGCAGCCCCTGGGTATTTCCAGGAGTTCACCTTGGGAAATGATCTCCACCAGGTCAGTCCCACTCACAACTGTAAAAGGGTAGTGGAAAGGACGCCACTGGTCACGATGAACTTGATGGTTAAATCATACTAGTTATCTTTGTACTATCTAACTGTTGGTTACAGATGAGGGAAAGTGATAGGGCTCATGGCAGTGGATTTAAATTTTACAGTTAGATTTTAAGCCTTTAGCTGATGCTTTTATCCATGATTATGGTCATGAGCACAACTGTTACATAAGCTTAAATTCCTAGATAACCATTACAGACAAAGAGAACATGTGTCAGAGTTACAGAACATGATAAATATTGAATGTTATAGGCTTTTATCTTCGGCAGCCCTCAGTAGTGATGGGTGATAGCAATGCGACATCTGCACTAGTCAAATTTTAGCTTTTAACTCAGTTGAACCATTTTATGTATGCCGTAGCTTAATTTTTCCCAAATGTATTTTTAATTATCCTACAAAGCTGATCTCGCACTATAATTCTTTCTGTCCTATACAACTGTAATACTGTAAAACTATTTGGCTGTAATGCACAAGTAAGTCAGTGTACAAAGCTTGAAGACCTTTGGTTGTCCAGTGAAATATTAATCTTAGTCCATTGTTTCTATGAAGGCTTATATATTGTAGTTGTGCTTTCTCTCAACCTGCTTTGCAATCACGTCATATATTTACACAACTGGTGACAATTTGAATGCAGTGCCACAGTAATACAGGGCTTGTTGTTGGGGCGCTGGCTTTAAATGCCCTGTATAGTCAGTGTTGATGGCGGAGTTTTTGAAGGATCTCTCTAGACAGCAAGCTAGAGGGAGGAACTCCATTTCTGTCCTGTCAGTGTTTATTTCCAGTCAGTTACATTTTGACAGGAGAATGAGGAGTAGATTCGCAATGAGACACTTAAATCCCACTTCTCTAAAAAGGCATGCATTAGCCATCAGTAACATAACACACCGCCAGTCCACTCTACCATTTTACTGATCAATACTGTTTGCCTTTACCTTTTCAATAAGGGCTTAGTCCATAGAGAGCACAGAGTAAACAAGAAACCGCATGAGTAGAGGCATAGTAGAATCTTGTGTAAAACAAGTGTACATTTTATTTTGTTCAAAACAGAAGTTTAAAAGTGCTTTAGAAAGAGAGGTAAAAAGCACACAGGAAAAATTAGATGCAAGTCATTATGTTCCACTTCTGCTTGAGTATTCAGCTGATGTAGCCTAGTTTGACCTGCCACATCCAGATGTCAACATCTCCTTGAATTGGCGTTCAAACACAGATGTGTTGTAAAGACTGACGAACTTAACGTAGACATATGAGCATGTGTTTGCATCAAAGGCAATATTCCGTGTTGGCGTGCTCCCACATTCTTAATTGGAAGCTGTGTTAGTTGTGTAGGTGAATGGGAATGTTCAGGGGAGAAAATGAAAGAGACTGGTTGATGAAAACCCACCTGTGGTGAGAGATTTCCCCAGCTTACCGTCTAGCAGATCTCACCCTACTCTGAGATGCATAAATTAGCCCAATGCAGCACTTCCTACATCACACACAAGTGTGACTGCTACGTCTGCCTCGTTAGAATGAAAAGACAGACAATCTAATTATGGAACTGCTATTCCATCCGCCAGCAGGAAACCTCATACTGTGAGAGGATGAGACACCATCAGTAGTTTCACATATTTAACACATTTGATATGGAGTTAGTTACATTTGTATTTTCATTTCATTTCTATCTTCCAAGTGAAAAACTGAATGATGTTTTTCTCAGTCTAATAATTCTTTAAAGAATATTTTAAGGAGGTGCTTTGCCTGAATGGCAATGGGATTTTAGGGCTTTCACTTTTATTCCAGTTTCTATCCCTTTTTTTTGGAACATTTTTTACCTGTGATCACCACGACTGAAGATAATATACTAGCATGTGTTTGCTTTTCAAAAGGACATAGAGTTTTGAACATCAGAACATTAATATTATGCTATAAACGTCTACATATTGAAATTAAGTTCAGTTCGCTTTTTCATATGAATGCATTCATATGAATTACAAAAAGAGTTGAAAGGAGGCAGGAGGGGGCACCTTACCACCAATGGTAATCAGAGTTTGTCCTCCTCATTGATAGCTATTTTTTTTGACTGTAATCCTTCCTCTGAACGCCGAGTTCCTTTTTTACATGGAGCATTAGAAACTTTTTTTTTTTTTTTTTTTAGAGCAATGGTGGATCGTTGAGCTCTCTACATGGCTCTAGGTTGCCCCTGGTAAACCAATCATTGCTGGTTGGCATAAAACACATCACTCTGTATCTGTGTGCCAGCACGACAATGTCGCCACACTGACACCAGCTTTAAAAAAAAAAAGTTGTATACTGAGAATACCCAGAGATTGGTGCAATAGGCTTAATCAAGGACAAACCATTTATAAAGAGATGCTGGTATCAAAGTAATGAGTTTGACTCAGTGATAAAGCAAATGCTAATTTGCTCAAAGGAATTTAAACCAGATAAATCTCAATTTTTTTTTTTTTTTACAGTTTGGACGATGTAAGCTAGTATAACGTCAAAGAACAGTATTTATAATAAGTTCCTCCTAAAATATATTTTTGCCCAGCTTTCAGCCAGTGTACTTTCTATTTGAACAGGGCCAGCTTCAAAATGCCACCCAGCCTGATGGCTTTGTTTACTGGCTGCTTAAGCTACTGAAACCAGTCGTGAGGATAACATGCTGTCTGTGTGATGTCAGGATTCCATAGAGAGAAAGTCATCTCGCTTTTTTCCACAAACGCCCACAGAGTTTTTCACTTAATTCAAGTCCCAAACAATCACCCTTTTGTACGGTGAGCGCAGGAGAGTTGCCATGCCATGTGCTGAACGAATGCCGGAATTCTCAAGCAGTGTTTCAAGAAAGTTGTTAATTGTTACTTGATGTTTCTGTGATTCTGCAGACTGGAATGAAAATCTGACGGAGCCAGATTCAGACTGGTAACACAGGGGAAATTGTAACTTGGAGCAAGACCTTTGAAGCACAGCAACCGTGGTTTTATCAAAGCCTCACACTTGCTACCATAGCCATGAAGAGGGTGCCTTAGTGAGGGGCAACAAGGGGAAAAGAGCGGAGAAAAACAGAGGAGATGAAAGAAGAGAGGTTACACATAAAAGCGCTCTCAGTTATCTCAGCGCTAAAGAACACAAGTAGAAGTCTTCAGATGTTTTACAATGGATGCCAGGGCATGAGTGGAATGGCGAGGAGGACCCATTTTTTTCCGCCTAGTTGTCGTGGTGTCTCCCGAGGCAATGGGGAGGAATGGGAGCATGTTTTGTGCCCACCTCTGCCAGCATTTGATAGGAGGCATGGAATCAGTGGGCCACCCCCCCAGTGCAGGCTATTAAGAGCCCCAACATGGCACAACATTCAACAGAAAGACATCACACATTCTCAAACGGAGTAGGTCACATCATCACTACTAAATCACATAAATAAGCCAAAGAAGTCATTAAATGTGGCAGCATTGACTAAAGAACTCAAGACAGTTTGATTCTGTGTGAGAAAAGTGGAGGAAGAGGCATAGGGTCTCACATAATTATGTGCCATTCCAAAAGTGCAGTTCAAGAAATCATAACCTTTTGGATCACCTTTTTCGCTTCTCTTTTTTTTTCCCTTGTAAAGGCCACTGGAGGTGACGTTAATGGTCATAAAGTACATGCTCAGCACCGCAGTGCTTCTCAGACAAGGCAGAGAGGAGGAGAGATGGAGGATTCAGGGAGGCGACAGTATAAATCTGAGCTTTTAGCCACTTCCTCTCCTCCCGTGTTAAGCCTTGATAACTCGGCCTGGAGGCTGTTGGAGGATAGAGCTCAGACTAGTGAGCACTGCTGCAGACAGCTTCCTGCTCCCAGACAGACTCGGGATCATTGTCTCTTGAGTATAAATGCGCACACATGGATTCTCTCATAGTCACTTTACCTCTGTTTCATCCACTTACTACTCTTTTTGTTCTGTTATATACAGTGAGGAAAATAAGTATTTGAACACCCTGCTATTTTGCAAGTTCTCCCACTTAGAAATCATGGAGGGGTCTGAAATTGTCATCGTAGGTGCATGTCCACTGTGAGAGACATAATCTAAAAAAAAAATCCAGAAATCACAATGTATGATTTTTTAACTATTTATTTGTATGATACAGCTGCAAATAAGTATTTGAACACCTGTCTATCAGCTAGAATTCTGACTCTCAAAGACCTGTTAGTCTGCCTTCAAAATGTCCACCTCCACTCCATTTATTATCCTAAATTAGATGCACCTGTTTGAGGTCGTTAGCTGCATAAAGACACCTGTCCACCCCATACAATCAGTAAGAATCCAACTACTAACATGGCCAAGACCAAAGAGCTGTCCAAAGACACTAGAGACAAAATTGTACACCTCCACAAGGCTGGAAAGGGCTACGGGGAAATTGCCAAGCAGCTTGGTGAAAAAAGGTCCACTGTTGGAGCAATCATTAGAAAATGGAAGAAGCTAAACATGACTGTCAATCTCCCTCGTACTGGGGCTCCATGCAAGATCTCACCTCGTGGGGTCTCAATGATCCTAAGAAAGGTGAGAAATCAGCCCAGAACTACACGGGAGGAGCTGGTCAATGACCTGAAAAGAGCTGGGACCACCGTTTCCAAGGTTACTGTTGGTAATACACTAAGACGTCATGGTTTGAAATCACGCATGGCACGGAAGGTTCCCCTGCTTAAACCAGCACATGTCAAGGCCCGTCTTCAGTTTGCCAATGACCATTTGGATGATCCAGAGGAGTCATGGGAGAAAGTCATGTGGTCAGATGAGACCAAAATAGAACTTTTTGGTCATAATTCCACTAACCGTGTTTGGAGGAAGAAGAATGATGAGTACCATCCCAAGAACCATCCCTACTGTGAAGCATGGGGGTGGTAGCATCATGCTTTGGGGGTGTTTTTCTGCACACGGGACAGGGCGACTGCACTGTATTAAGGAGAGGATGACCGGGGCCATGTATT